TGGATCAGCATCCAGAGAGGACTCAAGATTCCTGAAAAGAGCGGATAGGGGTTGATGGAAAGGGGTCTTGATAAAAATTTTCTTCATCTGTAGGCTGCTAGAGTCTGGACTTTAGTCCACGACAGGGAAGAAATAAAAGCAGGAAATAAAGGGCAAGCTCAATAGGTTCAACAACCAAATCTCAAATTGCTTGAGTAGAGTCTTTAGTTGCCCTTTATCTGTGCTGCCAGAACGCTTCCTCCTCTGCCTGCAGAACCACCACTTGCTTCTCAGTCTTCCCAACTGGACTCAGTTCCCTAAAAGCAGGGACCACAGCTTCTTTCCTGCTCCTTGCCCAACCTCAAGAGGAAGGCTTTCCCGAAGGCAGATGCTCTCCATGAATTAGTTGGGCATTTGCTCATGTCTCGCAGATTTGGGTAAAATCCAAGAGTAAACTTCTTTTTACCTTGCTGACCTCATAGGGACCTCAGGAAAATCCAGTGGAGGTTAGTGTTCTGAAAACTAGGAGTGCTTCATATTAGCCAGCTTGATTTGGGGGCAACTTGGCTCTGATGTCCTCTCCCAGAGTGACAGGTGTGCACAAACACAGGATGAAATTCCATCACTAAAACAGAACTATCTCAACAGGCTGAGGGTGAGTAAAGTTGCCAGCTTCTCAGACTATTGCTGGGATTGGTGATATTTATTCATTCATTCAACATTTATTGAGCACTTTCTGTACACAGGGAGGTATGCTCTGTTGGGGACACAAAGACTGAAGACAGAGAAGGTAGATGGCTGTGGTAGAGTAAGAGAAGACAACCAGAAGTGGGCAAGTAAATTAGGGTGACAGTTCAGTAAAGTGTTATCGTGGTTGTGGTGAGGGTGGGGGGAGGTTTGTCTTGACTTATCCTGACTCTTACAGGAAAAGTGGGCATTGGCCAGGTTGACAAAGAGGGTCAGAAGTTCTTGGAAAGGGGAAGACTATGGCGAAGGTTGAGAGGTGTTTTACACCAGGCAAGGAAACAAATACCCATTCTTGGCTCTCTCTGGCCATGTTTACCCTGAGAACTTGAGTTTGGGGATGTCAGGGACATATCCATTATGTTCACCTCCGTTTCTCCAGTACCCACTAGAGTGCCTACATATAATAAATACAGAATCATTATTTTTGGATGAATTAATTCATGGAGGAATGAGCAACTGTGGATATTGGTGAGTAAATGTTATTTTATGCATGACTGTAGAAAGAATGAATGTTTTGCTTAGTGTTACCCATTGCAGATAAATTTGTTTGAACAGTAGTTCAATTACGTCAAGAGTAATTGCCCATTATTACAGACATAGAGAAATTATTCCTAGAGAAATAAGCCTAATTTTCAAAGCATAATTACCTCTGACATTAAGTGACTTCTCTGTGGACTCCTTTCTGACAACAGAAAATGAAAAGTTCCATAATACAGCAATAGTGACTCACTCTTCCATCTGAGGGTGTTACTCCCAGCTCGAGTATGACGTTTGCTTAAAAGATGAAACCACCCCCATTCTAAATAAATATGACATTTGGACAAGTCTTCAAGGATGAACATTTTATTGGAATATAGGCACTTGGCAGAGTAAATATGTGGTTACAAAGTGCTTTTAAGTTTATTTGCTTTATATAGTGACCAGAAAAACCCATCCACAGTGTAGATTTTATTCTTGAAGTTACAGACTTCAGAAGGCAGGTCCCCAAACCCTGGGTAAAGTAAGAAGACACACGTAGCTGACTTTTTTTAACCTACTGAATCTGTATTGCTTTAATCAGTAATGCCCTTCCCCTCCCCATAGGAAAATTGCTATGTAGCATATAGCATTTAGCACTTTTTATAAAGAATGAAAATCACACTCATCTGGCAGAACTGTGAAACCCTTTGAAATCACCGACTCCAGTCTGGAGGGTCACAAAACCAGACTTGAGAATCTTTGCAATAAAATGTAGAAGATCAGGTCCAAAGACCTGCAGTTCCTCACACTCAGCCTCTTTATAAAAGCTTTTGGACAGGTCGGAATCTTATCCTTGTGGTTTCCAAAATATTTTTTTTTGAAAAGAGAGTTTTCTCTGCATGACTCAAGGCACCACTGTCTCCACTCTAAGCTGCAAAGGAAAAAATGACAAGCCAAATTTTTTCAAGGAAAACATTCTCTTTGTAAAAGGTCAATAGTAACATAGCTGATTTAAAGTCATGGGATTTTTGCCAAAAACCATGTCCTGAGGTTTTATGCATTTCTAATGGATTTGCCCATAGGAGAGATCCCTAGAGCAGCCTGCAGAAGCCTTTCATGCTGCTCATTTAAATTACAATAACCTTGCTCTAACCTGGAAACCACTGAATCAACATGAACAAGTCTATTAAAAACAAGACAAGCTCATAGTAATATGGAGCTATGCCATTCGACATGTTGAAATGAATAAGGAATATTTTTAACGAACGTTAGTTTCCTGTTCCACCTTCAAACAGAACAATCATCCGCTTAATCTAGTGAACTTGTCTTTTGTGAAATCTGTACAGAAAAATTATTTGTATTGTCAGCTATATCCTCCCAGCACCCTCTGGCCTACAAGATGGGTAAAGAGAGGTCACTGATGTTCATCCATCCAATGCAGTGAGATGTACTTTCTTTAGGGTTGGAAAAATCTCTTAGTTTTCCGAGGGATCCAAGAAGCCCTGAGGTGAGCAAAGGGAGGAAGGTGGGAAGCTCCAGCATGGGCTCGTACTGAGCGCATGTACCTCCTTGCTCGCTGACGTCTCCTGGAGAGAGAAGGGCAGTCCCGGGTGGGGCTGGGCACTGCTCCTTTGGCTCCTGGCCTTACTGGGCAGCGCATCTGACCATCTGGCTGTCTGCCTCTTGGACTTTGGACTCGCCTTAAGGGAAGACTCCCCAAGGGCAAAAAGTCCAATTAAAAACGTCTCCCTGCCTGACAGCAAGCCCCAGATAGCCCCGGCACAGCAGTGTGGCGGGCGTTCAGTTCTCACATTTCCTGAGCAGCTTGACGCGTGCCAGTGCTTATGCTCAGCACTAGGGATATGAAAGTGGCTTGAGAAGGCAGTGAGCTGTTACTCAAGGCTGTGTCTCCCTAGCAGGAAGCACACATGATTAATAAACCCCAGTTTCTGTCCTTGAGCAGAGGGGCCCCCGGAAGAGACGGGAAGTAAATAGAATTTCAATACTCTATGCTAAATGCAAGGATATGAGTGAACACTGGGTACTGCAGGGGACCAGGGGAGGAGTGGCCTCTGCCTTCTTTCCCTACAAGGAGATCCTTCATAGATGTGAAGATCTAAACACTCTAAGAGAAGTTATAATGATTCAATATGAGAATATAGTTATACTGATTATTCTTCATTCTTTGTGATGTAGAAACCTAGAAATTCTTCCTGGGGAGGTGGACAGAGCTATATTTTAATTCCTGGTTAAATAGTTAAACTGTGGGATAAAAGAACTGATATAAATTTGCTGATGATGATCAAAACAGGCTTTTAGGACAATATGTTGGGATCTAATGCTAAAATTTATGCAAGGAAGTATCAACAGGTAGTTCCTGGGCCAGAAGCTTTTAAAAAATAACATGGTATTTTCTTGAAGATTAGAACACATCTTTTTAATCTTTTGCAAGTAAGTCCTTTAACATTAACAGTTATCATTGGTCACGATCCATCGAGAAGATGTATCTGTGTCTATTTCCATTAAGGTATAAGTTCTGGGAGAGAGGAACAGAGTCTTTTTCACTACAGCATCTCCAGTGCCGGGGACATAATTGGGACTCACTTAACTTGCTGCATGATCAAACAAATGATTTCCACTTGGGGTGACATCTTTGGAATTTGATATTGTACAACTTGGCTTTTCTCTTTCTCTCTTTCGCTCTCTGCCTGCCTTTCTTTTTTCTTCTCTCTCCTTCCTTCCTTCCTTTCTTCCTTCCTTCCTTCCCCATTTATTCACCTTATTCCCCTTCTGGGAATGAACCAGGACTGCTGAATGGATAGACAGAAAGTTGTCATGGTTTGAAAATGGACATATTTTTTTTCTTTAAATTCCCATAGGCCTTTTAATTTATGCTAGACAAAGCACCTTTATCTTTTCTTCTTCTTTTTTGTTATTACTATGCCTAGCACAGCACGTGGCATACAGTAGCTTTCAAATAATGCTTGTTTAATTGGTAGTCTTTTACACTCGGTAATTAGCTAAGCTCTCTCTGCACATTCTAAGACTAATTTGGAATGCTTTCAGGCTTACACATGCCAAGGAAATTTTCTTGCCTCATCTGAATTTCCCCAAAAGGTGATTAATTAATAAGAATCAACACGATTAATTAACAAGACATTGATAGCGGAATTAGTAACAGGCTCAGACAGTCCCACAGACCACAACGTTCCTCTGTTTCTGCTCAGCTCCCCATGGGCTCTCTCAGGCATAATGTCTCAGGCGCTGTAGGACTGCCCACAGCAGGGTGACCAGTGCTCGCCACCTACCCTTTCCTGCGATCTGACTGTGGATGAATGCTGAGTCCTTCAGGGACAGTGAAGTGGGGATAGTAGATGGTGAAGCTGGATTTACAGTATACATTTGCATTCTTACCCAAAATTAAAAAGCCTTAAAGTGCATTAGAGGAAAATGTGCAGTGTATTGGCAACCGTGCTCCCACTGTTTCCTTCATCTTTGCTGGAACACCACTGCTTCCCTTAGACACCCTCAGCTGCCTTTCACCCCAAACACTCCATTACTTTGTAATTCCTACTAAAATGCTAACGCAGTAATTCATGGTAGAACTGTTCAATTCCCCAAAGGTCTGCCTCAGTGCACATGCTCGGTGTGCATAGCCTCTGGTTTCATTACACACACTAAGTACTTAATTTTGTTTTTTTGTTTGTTTGTTTGCTTTTTATGGTAACAACTTGCGTGTAACCCCTAAGCGTACCCATAACCATTAACCTCTGGCTGAGTTTGTGCAAAGAAATACTTATGCCAAATTGCCCCTTTCACTCTTCTGAGGGTTGCCCTAGGGTACTCTCCCCGACGTCTTGTGAATCTAGCGGATCGATGTTTGGAACATTCTCCACCACCCACTGACACTCATGAACACCAGCAGCCTGAATCTGCTCTGTCTCCACACTGGCAGCAGCCTGGGCCATGCTGCTATTCCCTCCCACCACTTCTTCCACAGAAACCTGGCTCTCACTGGGGCACGTGTGGTCAGCCCTGGAAATGCAATCTGCTTGCTGCCCGGCCTCACCCTCCACAGTGGATACAGCCTGGGCCTCCAGTCTGGAAGCCCTGCCTGTGAGCTCGCTCTCAGCGGGCTCCCCGGCCTCTGCTTGCTGCTCTGTGGGGTCTGGGCGGCTGTCACCCTGGGTGAGCCCTTCACAGATCAGCTGAGCCTCCAGAAATCCCCCCAACTCCACCCTGCCAGCCTCCGCCTCCGGAGGGGGAGAATGGGCCTCCCTCTCACTGACTTCATTCTCTTCACAGCTGTGTTGGCTGGAGGCAGCTGCTGGACCGGCCTCTGTGTAGATCTGAGTCGTTTCCTCTAATTTTTCAATTTCTTGGGGAACAAGGGTCTCCTCGTTTGTATCTTTTTCAATCTCAAGGGTGGCAGATTCCACTGGTACCTCAATGGTCACTGTCAACAAATTTCTGAGCTCCTTTAAGGAGCCTGAGGCAGAGCTGGATTCTGGCTTTTCGCAGGTGGGCTCTCCACCCTCAGGAGCCCCTCCAAACTCCAGCTCTGGTGAGCATGTGCCCAGGGCTCCTGCCGTGTCCTCTGCAGCCACGAGATCTACGACAGGGCCATCCATGCCTGCAATAATCACCTGTCCGTTCTCACCCGGGGGAGGGTCGGGTACAGGAAGAGAAAGGCTTTCTTCTTTGGCCAACGGACTAGGGACCCCAGGCTGCTTCTTTTCCCCTGACTCCTGGAATACTTCATTACTCAGGGTCTCACTATCTGAAACTCCTGGCAGAATGGCTGAGGCTCTCCTGGCAGGGCTGGCCTGGTTTGACCCTGCAGGGGTTTTTAGATCAGTTAAGCTGGACACGCTTTCACTGGGCAAGGCCATGTTGTCTTCAAATAAGTTGTGTTTCTTCAGGATAGCAGCTTCCTTTATCACTGAGAGAGACCAGAACACAAAACATGACATTAACACTCTGCCCTGGCCACCCTGGGGTTTCTGATTTTATCCAGAAGCCAAGCTTCCTTCCCAGCTTTTCTGGCTATCCACATACATTTCTCGACTTCAAATTCCAGTTTTTGTTCACCCTCTTCCAGCTGTCCTTCCCTGACGACCAAAAGCCCACAAACTCATTCCAAACTCTGGACCTCTGTAGTGTTCATTCATTCATTCCTTTGCTCATTCATTTTTTCAAAGTGGGCCTCAACGATGGGACAGACTTTGAGAATCCAAAGATGAATAAAGTACGGCTTTTGCTTTCAAGGAGCTCGCAATGTAGAACAGTATCATCTGTAGTACTCATGGAGGCCCCAGTGCAGGGGCAGGCCTGACATTTCTCTGCTTCACCTCCCAGTCTAGTCCTGAATGTGTAATGCGTACTCCGTCCTGAGCATGCAGAGAGAGCCCTGTTGATGTGTAGTGTCTAGAATGAAGACCTGTGTGCACCCACTCAGTCTTAGAGGCCTTGAGAGGACTACAAACAGTAAAAATAATGACAGCGGCTGACAGTTTGACTTCACTGACAGTTTGACACTGACACTGACTTCGGCTGTGCCGGTTGTATAGTGCCCAAAAGGATCACACTCAAGGGGGCGCCATTCGCTCCAGGATCAGCACAGATTTGTGCAGTCAGCAAAATTCTCCCGCACCTAGCAGCAGAGCACCCTACTCTGATGAAATCAGTGTATCACGGCAATTTTTTGACAGAGAGCAATCAAGTGTCTGGAGAACGGAAGCCATTTCCTAATTGGCTCAAAGGTGCCACGATGGACTGGCCTTGAGCGGGCCCCTCCTGTCACACACTGTGCTGACATCTTTATATTTTTTATCTCGTCAGATTGGCTGCTGTGACCTGGGGCTTGTGCCTGGCCAGTTTTCTTTGTGGAGGGTTTTTTGGGATACTGACACCTTCTCCACGAAGACCAGATACGTTTCAGGCCTACGGTTTCAGGGAATGGCCCTGTCCGGCGTACTTCTATCAAAGTTTTCCTGTCCACGGTCCCATCACAAGCAAGGCCTCAGTCCACAGATAGTGGACATGGAGCACTGTGTCGGCACCCCGTGTCTGCTTCTGTCCAGCTGACGGGAGGTGAGGAATGTGCTGAGGGAGCAGCTGGCAGCCCTTTTTCCTGGATTCACCTCCTCCTGGCTCTGGGAGGGGCTGTGAGTCTGTGGCTAAAAGCACCTGTTTTCCTATGTTTCTGTCTGGAGCAACTGGAGGAAGACAGCTGTTCATGAGACAGTCCAGCCTTAATCTCCCCAAACCTTGGTTTTCTCTGAAAAATGAAGCTTGAAATTCCTGTCTCACAGAGTTCTTACTGATATTCAAAGAAATAATATCTAACGGGCCAGCACAGTGTGTGCCAAACCACGAACCTCAGTCAAGGTCAGTATCCCTCTCTCTTTCCTCTCTGTCTCCCCAAAAAACCAGTATCGATTTCTTCTTCCCCGTTCATCCCTGTTGAGAAACCTCACTGGCCTCACTGGGTCCCCTTTGAGGGGTACTCCCATCTATCTGGTGTCCCCACTCTCGGCACCAAGTAAATCTTCCTTACCTTTCAGGGTTTCATCAAGGAGGCTCTGATGTAAAATCTCCTCATAGACATTTTCAACGTGAATCATATTGGTGTGATCTGCAAAAATGAACTGCTCGTATTTCTGGAGCTCCTGGAGGGTGAGAGATAGGAAGACAGAGGACAAGGCATGAGAGGGCAATTTGTAGAGGAGGTACAGAGAGTATGGCTCCCACTCATGACCCCCTCCTCGGAGAGTGGGGCACTCAGCCGTTGGTCATTCCTTTCCTTTTCCCCAGGCACCAAGGCACCATTTCCTGTACTGCGCACACAGATTTTGATCATCTCAAAGCCCCGTCGGTGGGTCAGTGGGTCTCAAGGCCCTCCTTTTTTTCATCACAACCAAAATGCTCCCTTCTTCCTCTTTTTTTTTCCTTTTAAACTCCAACAGGACTTTACCAAGTAAGTTACACACGGTAAAACGTACACATTTTATAAGTGCATCTCAGTGATTTTAAATATATTAACTAAACCCACGTAACTATAGCCCAGATCATGACAGAGAACATTTCCAACACCCTGTGCATTTTTTCTAGCCTATACCCCCACCAAGAGATAAGCATTACTCTGATATCTGTCACAATAGATTAGTTTTTCTAATTCTTGAACTTTATATAAATTGTATCATATCTTCTTGTGTATTTGGCTTAGAGATTCATCCGTGTTGCTGCCAGTATCAGTAGCTCACTCCCTTTTCTTGATGAAAGGCATTCACTATATGGGTGGACTAAAATTGTTTAGCTATACTCCTGTTGATGGTGTTGAGATTTTTCCATTTTTAACTGTTATGAATATAATTGCTATAAACATCCTTTGCATGATCTTTTTGGATTTAGGGGTTTATTTACCTTAAGTTCATACCTAGAAGTGAAATTCCTGGGTCCCTGGACTAGATATTGAACTTTATTAGGATGGGGCCTTTTTCAGGTGTGGGGAATCTCTAGTCAAGAGCTCTTCAGGAACATTCTCTTCTATCCCTCCAACTGGCCCTGACACTCATTGACAAACCTAGGCAGGATGCAGAAGCCCTTAACCCTTCCTGCTTTCGGAGAGTTTCCAGATGGCTTGAGGACAGCAAGGGGTCAAAATGTACCAAATCATATCCCAGTTATCAGCATGAGGACACAGAAGGGATCAAAATGTACCAAATCACATGCCAGTGATGAACTCAGTTATCCTTACAGCTGATGGTGCTGGAGGGGCCCCAAGGGCCAGGGCCTTAGCAGCGGGATTTGATGCTTTTCGCCTGAAGGGACAGGATTTACAGCAGGTGATCAGAAGCCACTACATGCAGACAACTCAGTGCTATAGGACTTGGGGGACTGTTGTTCGGGACCAGGTCACAACAGGTGATAATGGGGTCCCTTTATATCTGCCCTAGAGCAAAGCCAAAGGATTGAAAAGGCATGAGCTTCCATGACCCTGAGAGGGTCTGTGAGGCAGGACTGACACACAGATGAGAACTGTGTGGAAAGAGCACTGCCCAGGAGGCTGGACACTGCCCTGGATTAGCTGTGGGACCTGAACAAATCATGTCACTGCTCTGTGCCTCTCCCTTCCTCTGCAAAGCGAGGGGCACAGGCTCATGTCTGCAACACCCTTTCATCTCCCTAGGTGGTCTCCCATTCTTTACTCCCCTGACTGGTGCCTAAGGACTAGGTGAAAACATGACTCTGGGACATCCTCCCTGACCCCATAAGCAGAGCTGGGCACCCGGCTCAGAACCGTGGCCATTGCTCTTCCCCATAAGGCCACTGCTGTGCTCATCACATGGCATACTATATGCCTGTCCATGCCTGTCAGCTGCCTCTAGGCTATGAACTCCAGGACAGCAGGGACATTGGCCTAGCACAGTGCCTGGATCACATTTGATACATATTCAATACATGTTTGTGGAATAAACAGCAGGCCTTTAAAATTTCAAACGGCTAAATAAGTGTGTGGAAAGGAACAATTTCTAGGGATGTTTATACTGTCGTGACATGTCCGGCTTTATAAAATAGGTCTTCTATATTGAACTGATTAAACGATAATGTATGTTTAATTCCTTGGAGCAATCTAACTGGAAGCCCTGAGGTTGGGTCTTGAGGAACTGGAATTTTTTTTAAAGCTTCCCATGCAATTTTAATGTGCGGCTGGAATGGAGTACCACAGATCTAGGAAGCTGTGATATAAAGAACCAAAAGGACCATGCTTTAGTAAAATAAAGAATCCTTCAATGAAGCAAGTAATTCCCCAATTTGCCAATTCTGCAAATTCAGATTTTAGGAAATTTCTTGGCACTGGAATAATATCCTTAACTACTGAAAACCTGGGGTATCAGCTTCTTTTGCAACTAATCTCTCTTGATTAAAAATCATAAGAGCATTTTATAGATTGGGTACAGTTCTGCTGATGCTTGGAGAAGGGGAACTGATGAAAAAGGGGACTTTCTTTACCCTTCTCCTCTTCTTGGAGAAGGTGGCCTTGTGGCACCCAGATTGCTTTGGGATAGAAGAAGAAAAACACCCTAGGCAGAATATCTGTGTACAGACACAACTGGAGGTGGACTAAGTCATCCTCTGGGTGGCAGCATTTTTCCATCCACGTATGGCCAAGGGCCAAACAAACGGACAGATTCTTTACTCCTTTGACTTTTATCAAACTCCCAGAAATAAATGCTGGGTACTAGATATGCCAAGACTCTAAAGGAAAATAAAACATTTACAGAATATAAAAATGACCAAAGAAATTTCTGCAGTAAAATAGCTTATGTAAAGGATTTTAATATTCCAACTCTTGGAGACCCTCTAAGCTACCCCAAAGCCCTTTTTAAATTCTAAAAAGCTCTTTATGATTTGCTCCAAGAGGGAGAAGGCATTGATAATGTCCAGGCTCATATATCATTTCTAAAATGTAGAAACTGTAATAGTAGTAAATATACCATTTACTGTAAATATACCATTTGCCGAGTGCATGCCATGTTATTAGCAAGTGTGAGCTGAGTTCAAACTCTGGTGGTTACCAGCTGTGACTTTGGGCCTGTGACTTAATCCCTCAGATTTCCTCATTTGTACAATGAAGATATAAATAGCACCTCCTCCTAGAGTTGTCATGAAAATTATTGAGATAATCCATACAAAGTGTTTAACATGGTAAGCACTCATCGAATATTAATCAAATCATTCTAGTCTCCTCAATCTTAAGAAACATGCCACAAAATATGTCATCTCCATTTTCTAGAAGATGGAATCTAGGCCAAGGAAGAGGAAAAGAGACTTGCTCAAGGCCCCAGAGCCAATATATGGAGGAGCCAGAACTTGCACCCAGATGTTGAACCAGCCTCCACAGGCAGCTTGTTCATTACTCTGCTCTGCAGACTAAGTCACACCTTCATAATCATGGCTGTCACTGGTAGCAGCTTTAAGTGGTTTCAGTTTCATTGATTTCACCAAACAAACATTACTGGATTTAAAATAAAAAAATACCCTTCTGTAATCATGTTTCTTAAGGTCTTTTTCGGGATTTAGCGGTCAAGTTTCAGAGGACATGTGGTTCCCAAGAGTCATACTATGATGAAGAACGCCTGGTGTCCTCAGGTGTTCTATGGCAAGCCTTAATTTGGCTCAGAGTCAGATCATTACCTTTGAGATTTTGTCTAGGTCAGGGGTCAGCAAATCTGGTGACTGCTTGTTTTTGCAAATAAAGTTTTATTGGAACACAGAAGCACCCATTGTCAATGTATTGCCTATGTCTGCTTTTGCACTTAGCAGAGCTGAGTAGTTGCAACAAAAAACACTATGATCCATGAATCCTAAAATATTTACTATCTGACCACTTATAGAAAAATTTGCTGACCCCTCCCGGGTCTAGTCTACTGTTTGTAAGCACATCATAGCAAAAGGACTTGCTTGAACTTAATAGCAATAAAAGTATGCTCTCTGGAGTAACTCATCTCCTTACTGGTTTGCATGTGGATGCCAGTGCCTTCTGCACGGTGGGAAGTGTGATTTGAACCAGTGCCTCTTGAAATATCCTCTTCCTGATGGTGCTGCTGTCATAATCATATTGCTGTCAATACAGAGATAGAAACATATGCTAAATAGCAACATTGCAATCTGTTAACTTTTGCTTAAACAAAAACTCAGTCACTCACTTGTCTCTGTTTTTCCCCTAATTTCTGAGGACACTTGTGGTGTTTCTAAGGTCTCAGAGATCTTATCATGCAATTCTCTCAACCCTGGGTGGAGGGTACGACTATTAGTGACCCATCTTATCCTCCCCTCTTACAGATAGGGAAACTGAGGCAAGACCAAAACAATAACTTCTGCATTATAAAGCAGTTGGGGACAGAACTGGGCAGTGAGTTTGTATGTCATCATCCCTGTCCTGGGTGGCTCCATAGGAACCACAGTCATCTACTTCTTTCACTCTATATCCTAAAAGCAGGATTAGTGGGTTGTAATGGTTTCCACAAGGGAAGACAGAGTCTGGATCATTGCAACCTTAACACTGTGGCATGTTAACCAAAGAAGTTTAGTATCTAGACCAAGAAAGATGATCATTCACTGTTCTGCATGGAATAGTCAAGCCTAGGGACCACAGTTTGGTTTTAGATGATACTTTAAGGGGAACACAGACAAACCGGAACATAGTCACAGGCATGTGAGTAGAATGGTTAAAGACATGAAGGCATTCATACCAGAAATAATAACTTTGGGTGAAATTATAGCTCCCCTCCTCTCTTCTTATTCTCTGAGCTTTGAAAACAACCAAAGGCTACTATGTTGAGGGACATGGACAGGGAGGACAGAACTAGAATCACCAATGGTGAGAACTTTGGCTTCACATCAGGTAGTATGTTCTTGCGGTTAAAGGTGTCCAGAGAAGGAATGGACTGTCCTGAAAGGTATAAAGTGTCCTAACACTGAACGTGTTATTGACATTGATTCTATCTTTTTTTTTCCAATTGAAAGCTCATTATTATTTGTGTTATCATAATAAAAATTGCTTTTTCATTTGCTTTTTTAATTTGCTTTATTTATTTATTTTATTGCTCAGTGATTTGGTTGCCAGAGTTTCCTACTTTCTGTGAGGTATTAAGATTGGGTCTAAAATTCAGGGACCACCTTCTAGGCTCTGTGGGACTTTTATCTTCCGCTTCAAGGCACTGTTTAAGGGAATAGGTAGTAAGAAACTAGTGGGCTAAGTTTAAGAATAGTTTGAGCTCTAGGCTCACCATTGACTAGCCTGTTGAGCTTAAGTAAGTCACGCTAGCTCTTAGTGGGTCACTTTCCTCATCTTTACAATGGAGACATATTCTAATCATATCGCAAGTCCATGTGAGAATCGAACAAAACAGGATAGGTTAAAAACAAAAAAAGCTTTAAAAATACACCAGTGTAAGCTGTTATTATTAAAAACCATTTTGATATATACTTAAGCAGTAAGCACAATAAAAACAATTTCACATGGTGGGCATCTTTTTTTTTTTTTTTTTTTTTTTT